CTCGTATTTCTAACTTTTATGATACCATCTACCAGAAGAAAGGTTCAAAATTTCAAGTCCTAAACTGTTCCTTCTGCTTCAGTTACAACACTCTCAACTATATAACAACTTATTCATTAAAGCCTCTGATTGTCCAGCAAACGTTCCAAATTTCAAAGTCAAAGCACTACATCAGGCATCACCAAATCAAGAAAAGACTTCAAAAAACACAATATTTTCTTCTTATCCTTACTCTTGTCTACCCTGTAACACTAAAGAATCCAGTCCAGAATCCAAATCTCGAGAACAAAGCCCTATCTTCAGCTTCAAGAACCAGCCCAAAACCCTAGAAAGAGGGATCCGAAGCTCGACTGCCCCTAGCTCACCAAACCCTAACCCTAGATCGCCGGAGTGAGCACAGAGGAGAAGAGAGAGAAAGGGAAAGGGACTCACAGGTCGAGGAGGCGGAGGAGGGGAGGTGAGGCACGTGAGGGGAGGAGGAGGCCGGCGGAGGTCACGTGACGCAGCTGGGGGGACAGTTGGAGCAGCGACGGGGCAGGAGGGAGAGGAAGAGGTTATTGTTTTGTGGACCCGAGCCAGATTTTGCTTCGCCAAAGGCTGATGGTGATGCGCCTTCTGGACTCGGACGAGCATCGGATCCGAATAATAGTGAAGGGGCACGTCTGGCTTCAACTCGTAAATAACGCAGCGCTAGCGTGCGTGTGGGTCTCATGATTTCTGTGCTACTTGGAGTAGCTATGTACTTGATTTTATCCAAAGAGGGGGCAAAAGGAAAAGAAATAAAATTAAGGCAACTTGTTATAGTTTATATGACTTTGCACTTTTATACTGTATCTAGTTTTTCTTGACTTTTAAATACCCTGTTGTCTTTTTAAAATAGCATCTTACTATCTTACTTTTAAAATGTTGAAAATTTTCAATTAAACCCTGGAATATTCTCCTAAAATGTTCACGTGACTTGCATGTCATAGAAATTGGTTAATTATAACTTTAAATTTGGTTGAATAGGAGGGAAAACCAATTTTGTAACAAACTCTTAAGTGAGAGAAAATAAGGTTGAAAATGAATTTTTTTTTTCAGTTGAAACTAACTTTTGAGGTATAATTGGTCACTTTTTATTACATCCAAGTAACATGGAAAGTTTTTGGGAAATTTGTCAATGTTTAAAGACAACATTATGATATTTGGCTGATGGAAGGCAAGAATGTGATGCTTTAAAACAATAGAGATATTCGGATGTCAATAAAAAGGGATGGGTGTGTATGTGTGTGTATTTTATTTTTTGAGAAAACAGGATGGGATAGGTGAAAGGGCAAACTCGTGTAAACAATGGGTATTTAAGTGCTGATTAGCATAAAAACAGAGGAAAGGTGTGAAGATATATTATGGATGTGTCTCATTCGTGGTTAGCCTTATGTTAAATCTGATTTCTTTTCAAAGAGTAAAATTTATATTGCAGAAAATTTAGATGTCCACTGTATTATGTAGTCCAAATGATATTCCAAGACTTTTTTTTTTCCTAGCCACCGCAGATAATGAGATTAAGATTCATGATCTTTTTTTTTTTGATGGAAAAACAAGGGATGGACCCTGTTCATTTAATAAAAATATAAGTATCTTTACAAAAATTAGATACGAACTGTATCTGTCAGTTGATAGATAAAAAACTTAATTTCTCTTAGCCATTGATGTATAACCTTCTTCTCCTAAACATCCATGAAGATGAAGAGAGGGCCTTGCCGTCATTCATCGTTGACATAGATATAAAGGAGAACCAAAGCCGGCCATACATGTAGCAAAAAAGAAATTAAATTTTCTATAGATCAATTTAAAAAACAAGATAACACTACCAAAAATATATATGTACATCATTCTTAGACAATTCCAGATTTCTTAACTGCTGTTGCGAGGTATTGGTTTTGCTTTGAACACATTTGCCAACTGATAAGCTTCCTTCCTTCTTCCCGATTCTGTCCAGTCATACAAAGCAAGAATAGAAGAGTTAATAATTGATTCAGCTGAAAAAGATTTCTGTTCAAAGATAAATTTGTTCCTTGAAGTCCATATAGACCAACAGACTGCAGAGAAGATGGTGCGCCATGTGAGTCCATCCAGCTTTTGTAGAGATGCAACAGATAACAACATATCATCTAGAGAGATTGGCCAATTGAAAGGTAAGAAATAGTTTCCAAAATGTTGCCAGACTGCCATAGATGTATTACATGAAAAGAAGAGATGATTTTCAGATTCAATGTGCGCATCACATAGAACACATGTAGGATCGCCTTGCCACCCTTTCTTCATGAGATTATCTTTGGTTTGTAGGCGATTCAGAGATAAAAGCCAAATGAAAATCTGTATTTTGCTGGGTAGAATTGGATTCCATGCTATTTTGAAAAAAGCATATTTGATACCTCTGGAGTTTAAGAACTCATAATATGATTTAACAGTGAATGAGCCACTAGATGTAAGAGACCATCTAGGAGAATCAGCCTGATTTGTAATACTTTGCATATTAATAAGAGTCAAGAGGTTTAGTTTAGCATATTGAGATTCAGCTGAGATACTTCTCTTCAACAAAAGATGCCAATGCCATAAATTATTTTGGTAGATACCTTGACTACGAATGGAGACATTTTTGGATAAGGTTAAGTTGTACAAAGATGGATATAAGCTTGATAGACTGTTGAAGCCAATCCATCTGTCCTCCCAAAATCTAATCTTTTCACCTGAGCCGAGAGACCATGAAAGGAGATGAAGAAAAGCTTCTTTGTTGGAAATGATATTATTCCAAAATTGAGAATTGTTGACATTGCAATTAGCTAATTGCAATAAAGAAACTTTTCTGATGTAGAGATGATGAAGAAAAGCACCAATGAAAGATTCTTTATCAAAACATTTCCATAACCATTTGGATAGAAGAGCTATATTAAAATTTTTGAGATCTTTCACACCCAGGCCTCCTTCAGATTTGCTTAAACATACCTTTTTCCAACTAACACCCAGGCCTCCTTCAGATTCATGATCTTCAATAAGAGAAGGGAACTAGTAACTAATATCCCTTGAGCTTAATTGACTTAGCTAGCATTTATTATTATTTTTGGATGATTTGGAGATACCATAGAAGATTATGAAAACTAATATAATAAGATGTTATTTTCTCTTTCTGTAATTAGTAGTTGAGACCTACATTTAGCCATGATATCATGCTTTAGTCTTCTGCACGTAGATATGTAGATTTCAGTCTCACCTAAGCAAACAACAAAATCTTTTAAAATAAGTTGCTTGGGTACAATCATCAAGGGCCACTTTATACAAAGGTTCAATTCTCTTAATTTGGTCATTCATTCTAATTTCAATGGAAAAGACTGCCACCTAGGATTTCCGCTATCCATATAGTGGTCTTCAAAATATAATTGTTGATTTTGGTGAATAAAATTGTAATAAATAGTAAAATAGGATATTTATAAAAACTGAAACATAGAAAGATAACTCTCCAATTAGTTGCCAAATAAACAACTCTTCAAGTTCAATATCTAAAACCATACATAGTTACATTTCGTACCAAGTAATAAATCAAAAAAAAAAAAAAGTGAAAGCAACATAATTATATAAAGCGTGGTATTGTTGGAAACCACTATATGGGATTAAGGTTTAGAATTTTTTTTAAACATAAATAAAAGAAAGAACCATGTAAACAATGGTAGGTTGAAACCACTATATGGATAGTTAAAACAAAATCTAGATGACATAATCATTTCCCTAGAAATTAGAATGAATGGCCAAGAATGAAGTTGGACTTTCACCAATTACCATTTAATTGGAGAGGATCCATATCCCTATACATTGGCTTGTAAACTAAAGATATATCTCAATATAATAATTAGCTATTAACAAATAAATTTAATTATTTATTTATTACGAGATGAACATTGAGATAAATATAGTTTCATTGAAAAGCGATAATAAGATCCAAAAGAGTTGAAATAAGAATAGAAGTTAAGTTCTTACTATATTTATTTATTTACATAGTCATTTATTGGAGGCTCTCATCCTGCTTTATTCTTTATATTTTTTGTCATTGTCACTTGCAAACGTAGCTTCTCAAATATATTTCATCTCCCATCCAATCATACTTTCTTTAAAATCACGGGTTCGGGAAAATCTTTCCTTGTTCAATATTACCTTTCACTTTTTTGTATATTTTATTTAAATCTTAATCTATCATAATCATAATTATATCATATCTTAATCCCACGTGAATTACCTATAGCTCAACAAATTAAAAAACAAGATTAATAGATTATATGAAATATTACAACAACAATAAAAAAACCCAAAAAGTTTCAAAATTTTGTAAAAGTACTCTTAGATGTTCAAAATTACACAAAACATCCTCATATGTCAAAACTTAAAATAATAAACATAAAATCTAAAAATTAACAACATTCTTCAAAGAACTTTAAATTTTACAATTAACTCTCTCAACATTTCAAAAATTATAGAAACACCTTCCAAAGTTTAAATTACAAAAAAACACTTTCAAAACTTGTGAACAACATGGATGAATTTTAGGGATTATCATCAGGGATTGGACATAG